GCGGGGCCTGGTGTGGGCGGTGCCTGAGGCGGAGTCGCGCTCCGGGGAGCCCCGCCCCCGCCCCTCGCGGCGACTGCGCTGGCCTCCTTGTCAATGGGAGCGCGGGGCTGGGTCGCCTGCGCGGCGGTCAGGTGGGCTCTCCTCACCCACCTCTCCCCAGCTAGCTCCCGTAGCAGCCTCTTCCTCTCTGGCTCCATCTCCATCTTGTCTCCAGCAGCTCGCCTTCTTGGTTGCTCTGCCGCTGCTGGGGCCGTAGCAGCTGAGTTACCTCAGCAAACGGCAGGAGGTAGTGGGTCTGAATCAACCTGCGTTCTGGATGATTCGCCTCAACCGCCCGGGTACTGGGCAAGTTCGGATTTTTCTTTAACTGAGTTGCACAAGTATCTATTGAGCACCTAACATGTGAGAGGCAAGGCTATGAGAAGAACACAGCAGGATGCAAAAAAGCCAGGGCCTGCCCTCGAGAGTCTTCTCCCAGCCTTGCCATCGCTGACCTTGTCTCAGGATTCCCCGCCGTCACCACGGCAAGAGAGTTCCCACACTCGGGAAGCTTTGGAGAGGGACAGATTTTAATGCAAGCGTGAGCTTTTAGTAAATGCTTGTTCACTGAACGTAGTTTAAACGCTTTTGCACATTTTGAAAGACTTAGCCTGGTTGAGGTCTTTGCACTGAAGTCTCTCGTCCTGCCCCTGCCCACAAACAAAAAATGCATTTTAAACATTTTTGTTGAGAGGAGAAGAGATTTTCTTCTTTTATCTTCCAAACCATTTTTTTCCACCTCTTTAAATAAAGACCCAGAAACCTGGGTCAGTTACTCAGTGTACAGCTTATCAATTATTAAGGAAACAAATTTGCCAAAGATTGGGCATGTTCTGGGTGGTCTCTGGGACTTTGAGAAAGTTAATTCTAACTGAACAAAATGGTTTTACAGTTCCACCAGACAGCCCCAGGGGCCGTTCCAGAAAAAGAGTCCAGTAGGAAAGACTGCATGGGGATAAGAGGCAAGTGGCCAGTGGGAAACGTTTTTCTAAAAGTTGTGCATTTCTGTGGCTCTGAAAGCAAACTCATTTCAACAATAGAAAAAAACAACAATACTCCTGTTTTGGAAATGTTAACCACCATAAAAATACATTTGCAATGGGAAAAAGGCAGTTAAGGCCCACCCAGAAGAAAATATTTTTCCCCTGAAATTTTGTATTTGGTGTTTCCAGGTATGGGTTTGCCTCAGTCTACAAATAGCTGTTATTGTCAAAAGTTGTATGTAATATAATTCAAAGTATTTAGATTTGAATCCCATTTTATGTATTCTGAGAAACTGACAAAGGAATCCTGTAAAGAATTGTCTTACAAAGTAAGTCACTGCTTCCCTCATCTTCCCCTCATTCTCCTTTTGGGTTTATGTTGGGGGTGGGGGGATAAATCTGGTTTGCTTAAAATCAGGATATTACTAAAAGTCAGGTTTCCAGATACAAAAGAGAAAGTCCACATACCCAACATTCAATAGAATTTATTTCCTTTAAAGGTTGATAGGACAATTATGCAGATCTATCAGATGTAGAGGAAAACAGCAACAACCTCACCCACGTACCGTTATCCCTATAAGGAAGCATCTGAAGAACTGAAGAGGTAAGAATGTAACTATTTCCTTGCAGATGGTGGGATTACATTTCACATATTTATGCTTTTTCATACTGAGTACTTTTAAATTTAAGCTCTTAGGCTCATTATGGTTTGTATGATTGAATGGAATGATCCTTGACTTTAGGTCAATCTCTTCCTTCTTGGTATTAGACTTAGTATGGTAAAAGCACAAACCTGTGCTTTCTGTTTTCCTTTACTCACTCACTCAGTACTTACTAAGCACCTACTTACCAGGTATAGGGTAATGTTCTAGGTATTATAGATGTTGTATTTCAGGTTTGTCTCTCCTGTTTTCTTTTTCTGGGCCACTTTGCATCTTTATAGCTGGGCTGCATAAAGGACTAATAATAATCCGCTTCATCTGCATAGTGCTTTATAGCTTACAGATCACTTTTGCAAAAATGACCCCATATCGATCCTTCCCCGGAAACCTCAGTTAGGCACTGTGGTGTGGGAAACATCATGGCTGAGTGGAAAGCACCTAGACCAGAATCCAGGTAGGTCTGGGTACCCATTCTACAGCTGAGGAAGCTGAGCCTCTGAGTGGTTGAACTTGTTCAAGTTCACAAAGTCATTAAGTAGTAAGCCAGTGTTCCTTCTACAGGTCTTTGGACTAGTTGAGAGATAGCATGTTATATAAATATTTAAAGTATGCTCCCTAGACTCCCAGAAAGCTCACAACCCCAGAACCCAATCATATTCTCGTTGCCTCACAGGAAGTGAGGATGAGAACATCGTGTTGCTCTGCACGTTGTTAGTAGTTAGATAATACCACACCTGCTGAATTTGTCGTAATTCCTGTAGCAATGGGGGAAATTACAGTCCTAACATCTGGAGTGGGGGACACTGAGACCAGGGGCAGATTACATTTGGTTTGATTTTATATGATCCTTAGAATTGTATTTCTCTGATGATTGCTGTTGGCCAGGGAATAACTCTCATTTACCCTCTTTTTAGTCAACCATCCCCCTTGTCACACACACACTGTTCAGTGTATTTTTAATTTTAAAAGTAGATGATTAGAATTTTTTATATACTCTCTAAAAGGTATGTCAACAGAACCTACTTTGAGTTGCTTTTTTGCTATATGTGGCCCCTAATTCTGGAGAACAGTAATTCATTATATAAACAAGTTTCCTCAGCTCTGACGTACAGAATGTGAGCTCTGATTAGATGAACGGAATTTCTCTATTTTTTCCCTTTTATCTGATTAATTCAATTAAATATGCATTTATTGACAATCTACAAAAGCTTGAAAATTTGAAATCCCTGGAATGGTTTCTCAAAATCATTCACATTAGGGTCTGCTGGGGTGCTTGTTAAAAATTCAGATACCCAAGCCACGTCTCACTTCTACCAAGTCAGACTCATGTGCAGTCTGCATTGATAGCCACTCCCCAGGTGATTCTTCTGTACGTAAAGTGCTGGGTCTTATACAGATTCTGTGTGTGCCAATTAATTCTGCTGGTAGCTGAGCTTACTTTCTCAAAGTCCAGATATCTCACATGGTTCTGAGTTCTACAGTTTTTCTTCACGTTTACTAGTGTTTTGTATTTCTGTCAGAGGAAAAAAGTCATGAAAATTGCTATTCATTGTGAGCACTGCTGTCTTGGTAAGAAAATAGGCAAAAATGAGTGGTTCATGATCTAAATGAAACTAAAACTAAGTGCCAAGTGAACTAGGCATTTTAGGGAGAATGGTAGAGCACTAGAAATTTTAGGTTTCTCTACTAACGGTTCTTATTATAAAATTGACAGCCCAAAACCCAACTTAAAAACCAAAAACCAAAGCCATTACCATCAAGTTGATTCTGACTCATAGCTACCGTACAGAACAGAGTAGAGCTGCCCCATAGGGTTTCCAAGGAGTGCCTGGTGGATTCAAACTGCCAAACTTGTGGTTAGCAGCCATAGCTCTTAACCACTACACTACTAGGGTTTCCAAACCCAACTTAGTGGTAAGTATAATTTAGAAAAATGTCTGGATAAGGTTAAGAGATGATATAATTTTCTGGTAAGTATCTGGTATTAATGAGGGAAGATGCTGATGACTATTTTGTGTGTCCCTAGAAGACAGGCCCTCTGTTTAATCCATATTCAGTACTTGGTTGACTGATAACTATTTTGTACAGTCTTTCAGACCTATTAGACCAGTGGTTCTCGGACATTACTATGCATAAGAATTACCCAAGATGCTTTTTAAAATGCAGATTCCTAGGTCCCATCCCTAGAATTTCTGAATCAGTAAGTCTTCAGTGGAGCTTGGAAATCTTCATTTTTAAAATCATACACCCCACTCCCAAGTGACACTGATACACTTTGGGAAACACTACACTGGACTGTAAAGTCCTTCAAGGTGAAGGAGTTGTCATCTGTTTGTGTATATTTCAAAAGTTCAGGCATGGCACAGTGTCCACAGGGTCAGCAAATTTTAAAATTTGTTAATGAAATTTACCTGACCATAGGCAAGGGCTAGTTCAGATAATTTATCAAAGTTCTTCCCGACTCTGAGACTTTGATTTTTCAAATAGAAATTTGGTGACTTGATGATTCTAGAAAATTATTTTTAAGATTAGATGTGTTAAAAAAGATAATGGCTTGCCTTGAAGTAAGGTTCTGAAAAATGAAATTATACTGATATAAAACAAAAAACTGGGAGGTTCATTGGTATTTAGGAGCTTGTGAGAAGAGTATATGCTAAATGTTTTTTTAAGTTCCCATCAGATAATTCTTGCTAAATTTTATGTCCCATCTGTTACTTGAAGAGTTCATGAAAAAAAATTAATTTCCTTATTTATAGTTGTTAGGGGTAAAAAATTTCCAGGGAAGAAATAAGGGACTTGCACAAAGGAGCGGATTAAGGCTTGTAGGTAATTGAATTGAGCTCTTAAGTTATTGAAGCCCATTATGTGGTCACTGTTGAGAACATCATTTGGTGAGTGCACTTTGATGGTTCAAGAACCCCAAAGAGGGTGTGCTTTGTGATTTTTCTCAATTTGGGATAGCAAGAGAATCCCACAGGGACACATTTGGCTTGAATGGAGTGGAAAGTTGGAGGGGGCTAAGGCTAGTCCTTTCACATTGATAATAAGATTGACCAATAGCTGGAACTGAAGTTGGAAGCTTGTCTTAATATGAAGGCATTACTTAACAGCCATGGTTCCCTGTTGGAATTTTCTTGGAAA